TACATCTGGGGCTCACATTGTATTACTACTGAACTGTGCTCATAAAACTAAATATACTTTCACAATAGATTTACATTGGACACAAAAGAAACCTATAGCTGAACAGAGAGGTTTTTCCCTGGATCTACCAAAGATGCTTATTTGGTAAAACAAAACAATATGGTCAAATTGTCAGTATCAGATTCAACCACAAGGAGAAAAAGGGATGAGAAAATTTGAAAAAGCACAAAAGAAAACGAGATATTTGCTGTGATAACTATATTTTCCTAAAATGATGCTTTACAAATTATTGAAAAATCACATGAAAACAGCAGGGTGTTAATATCAGCAGAGTGCATGAAACTTAGCATCAAATTTTGAGTTAATTACCATACTAGGCAATTTTACTAACAATAAAGTTTGCTTAAAATCAGCTAAAAATGCATTTATACCACTAGACAGAACAGAATATTTAGGCTTAATATGTTATTGTTGTTAATGTTGTTGTTATATGCAGTTGAGTCAGAACTGAGTCATGGGAGGACATTGCCCATCTTTCTCTTGTGAAGCAACTGGTGGATTTGAACTGTCTACTTTTAGGTTGGCAGGCTTAATATGTTACCCAGTATCACTACTGAGAGCTCTGGTGGCCTAGTTGCAAGAAGTTGCGCTGCCATCCCAAAGGAACGTGGTTCAAATCCACCAGCTGCTTTGCAGGAGAAGGAGGGACAATTCCCTCCCATGCAATTAATTGCTTCTGAAAAACCTGCCAGAGGGTCAGCTATGAGCTGGTTCTTACTTGAGTGCACACAACAACAGTATCACCATAAGCATGGACAACTTCCCAGAAACCAAGCTCACCGCTGTTGAGTTGATTGTAGCTCACGGTAACCCTGATTGGTTTTCCAGGGCTGTAAATCATGGCAGGAGAATGCCTTATTATTTCCTCTGCAGTGTGGCTGGTGAATTTGAACTGGTGATCTTTCAGTTAGTAATTCAACATGGAACATATTACACCACCAGGACTCCAATGGACAGCTACAGATGGGGTAGTTTTAAAAATTTTTATTTTATCTGTCAAAAGTACTCACAGAATCAATAAATCACTTCTCTGAGTTGAGAACTTTATTTCAATAAATGCCATATATCCTCCAGGTAGGGTTTTATAACATATTTAATAATCCCTTCATTCATCATTTATAAGTGATTCAGATTCAGAATTTTACCCTAATAAATGCCCCATACCGTCCAGATATATTTTATGATCTCTTTATAAAAGAAATTTATAGTGACGCACATTTAAAAGAACTTCAGCTCATAATGATTTCATCGCCTTCATTAAAAAAGCGAAGCAAAGCTGCTTATAGTGCTGCTTACATCCTACTGTGTGACGCCCCGAGAGGATGAAGGGGTGCCTGAGGCTTGCGGCACAGTGGGAAGAGCACTGGGTCTAAAGACAGGAGCTAGGCTCTACCCCAGCATTCAAGAGTGTGTGAACTTGGACATGATTTCATACCTGCCCCTCCTTGTCCTTATATGTAAAATGGAGCTGGGTAGAGGTGAAGAGGATTAGCTGCAGTGAAGTTTGCACCTTATCCCTCTTCTGTAATCATACCTTACCAGGTTGTTTGGGCGCCTTCCAGTCCACACCTACTCATAGCGATCCCATGAATAACAAACAGAAACATTGCCCCATCCTGTGCCAGTCCCACAGTCTGCACCATCCTCAAGACCAGCAGTACAGTCGTTGTTTCAGTCTACCTTCCTCTCTCTTGCTGACCCTCACGTGTTACACATGATGTCTTTTCCTGAGGACTGGCCCTTCCTGACAAAATGTCCAAAGGATGTGAGACAGTGTCACCTTTCTTACCTCCACAGAGCAGCCTGGCTACAAGTCTTCAAGACAGATTAGTTTGGTCTTTAGGCAGTTGGTGGTATATTCAATACTCTTCACGAACACCACAATTCAAAGGCAGCAAGTTGTTCTTCCTTCTTCTTTATTCATTGTTCAATTTTTACATGCATATGAAGCAACGGAAAGTACTTGGGCCAGGATCAGGTGCAGCCGTGCAGCCGAGTCTTCAAATTGACATGGCATCGTTACTTTGTAGCATTTTTGAAGATTTCTTTGACAGATGTTCCCAGAGTATCACATCTTAAGTTCTTTACCATGACCGTGGTGATAACGGGAGCCATGTAAAATGAAATCATCGACCACGTCAACCTTTTCTCTGTCTACTGTGATGCTGCTGATTGGCCCAGTTTTGGTAGTTCTATTAGTCCCTTTTAAGTGATGCTAAAGCTGAAGTTCAGAAAGGGTAAGTGATTTACCTAAGGCTACATTGCATGAAAGGAACTCTGGTGGTGCAATGATTAGGTGCTCAGCTATTAACTGAAAGATTGGTAATTCGAACCCACCTAGAGGAAAAATGACCTGGTGATCTGCTTCCATAATGATTACAGCCAAGAAAGTGCTCTGGGACAGTTTGACTCTGCTACATGTGTTCACTCTTGATTCAACGTCACTTACCAAAACAAACTGCAGAAATATGGTGAAGTCAGGATTTGAACCCTGGTCTTTCTGACTCCAAAGCTGGCTAATTCATCCTCACTCTGGGCATCAAGATTGAAGGAAGACTCACCAACAACCTGTAATATACAGAGGACACAATCTTGTTTGCTGAAAGTGGGTAGGACTTGAAGCACTTACTGCAGAGAGTGAAAGACTATAGCCTTCAATATGATTTATATCTCAACATCAAGAAAACAAAAGTTCTCACCACTGGGCTGATAGGTGACACCGTTATAGATGGGGGAAAGTTGAAATTGTCCATGATTTCATCTTACTTGGCTCACTCTTGATACTCTTGGTTAGCAGTCAGGACATGAGGAGTGCTAGTGCACTGGGGAAGTCTGCTGTGAGGGGAAGTCTGCTGTCAGGGGCCTCTCCAAATTACCGAGCAGCAATGATGCCAGCTTGAAGGCAAGGTGAGCCTGATTCAGGCCGTGGTCTTTTCAATCATTTGCTCTGCATCTGAAAGTTGGACATTGACTAAGGATGCCTTTAATGCCTTTGAGCTATGGTATTAGAGAAGAGTACTAAATATCCCGTGGACTGCCAAAAGAACAAACAGATATGTGTTAGAGAAAGGGCAGCTGGAGTGCTTGGAGACAAGGATCATGAAGCTTTGTCTCACATGCATGTTGTTAGGAGAGGCTATTCTTTGGAAAGGGACATCATGCTTGGAGAAGTGGAGAGTCAGCAAAAGAATGGAAGACCCTCAACGAGATGGATTGACACAGTAACTGCAGCAAAGAGTTCAATCAAATATGTCAGAGATGATGAGAACGACACAAGATAGGACAAGATTCAGATTTGTCGTTCATAGGGTCGCTATGAGTTGTGCTTGATTTGATGGCACAACACAACAACCACAAGCCTGTGGACAACAACAACCACCAGTTCAGCTGACCCTATAAATTGCACAGGAGATTACTCATCTTATGTGGAATATATAGCTTCTGGATTTGAACCACGTGCCTTCCAATTGGCAGTAAAACTTCTTACCTCTAGGTCATCAGAGCTCCCTTACTCCAGTCATGTTGTTGTTGTTGTTAGGTGCCATCAAGTTGACTAGCACTCACAATGACCCTATGAACAAGAGCTCTGAACCTGCCCTGTCTTGAGCCAGTCTCACTGTCTCTGACACATATGCCCCCATTGCCACAGTCACTGTGTCAGTCCGTTGTGTCCAGGGTCTTCCTCTCCTGCACTGACCTTCTACCGTCCTGGTTACTTTGCCTGCAGACTTCTCAATTACTGTTGTAGTTAGATGCCATTGAGTCAGCTCTGACTCATAGCCACCCTATGTAAAACCCCTGCCTGATCCTGTGCCAATCTCACCATCTCCACCGCATCTATACCATTTGCTCCTTTGTCTAATATGCTTTTGGGTATGTTATCAAGAGGAACCTGTCTTTGGAGAAAGATTTTATGGTCGGTAAAGTAAAGGGTCAGCAAAAAACCCCAAATAAACCAGGAAAATCTTCAATGAGATGGATGACAACTGGTTCCAGTTATTGAAAGAGTCAAATTTAATTAGTAAATGGACTTTGGAGAATAAGATTCAAATGTAATAGATGTTGTTAAATGCCGTCGAGTCATAGGCGACTCATAGCGACCCTATGAACGAAAGTCTTGGACACCTTTATAGCTTTTGTGCTTTCTCCAGGTACATAGGGTTTCCAGAAAGGAATGAATTATCAGTGAAATAATACTTACATAAAGCAAAACGGCAGATAAGCACTCACACTCACAAAATGCTGTGTGATATATCCAAAAACCCATTGCTACCAACTCATAGTGACCCTGGAAGAGAATGGAACCACTCCTTTGAGTTTCCAAGACTGTAAATCTTTAGAGGAGCAGACTGACACGTGTCTTTTTTTCTATGGATCAACTGGTGGGTTTGAACCACCAGTCTTTTGATTAGCAGTTCAATACTTAATCCACTGTGCCATCAGGATTTTTTTCTGGATGACATCCCACTGCTGTCGACTTGAATCCATTCACAGGGACCTTCCATCAGGTTTCTGAGGCTGTGAATATTTACGGGAGGAGACTGCCATCTTTCTTCCTCAGAGTGCTTGTTGAGTTCGAACCACTGGCCTCTTAGCTAGCAGCAGCGTGATAAGTTAGCACGAGGCAGCAGGGCTCCCTTTCTGTACAGATATCCATCTGCTGGAAAGAAAAGACTATCACATGCAGCTTTTTAAAATTCAAGCTTTGCAAATCATATTACCGAAGACATTTCCTTCCTCAGGATGAAAATTCACAGGACTTCTGAGGAAATTATGTTAATGGTCTTGTTGAAAACTCAGGGCCAGATGAATTTCCCATCACACCATCCATCCGGTTAGTCCAAGTACAAACAAGCCGGGGCCCCACGTGGCTTCCTTCTAGCGGACGGCGCGGTCCCTGGACATTCACTTGGCTGCAGGCACTGAGGAACCAGGGCGAGATGAAGACTTTACTTGTGTGCGCGCTTTCGCTCACTTTGCTCGCTTACTGCTCAGGTGGGTACCAGCGCCAAAGACACAGCCTTCTACCACGATGGGATAAAGTGGACTAAATAATATCCCTAACAATAATGAGCCTTAGTGGCATGGTGGGTTTTGCATTGGGTTGCTATAGAAAAGCTCGGTGGTTCGAATCCACTCTCTGCTCCTTGGGGAAAAGCTGAGAAGTCTCCTCTCATAAAAACGTAAAGCCTCAGAAACTTGATTGAAGATCGCCATTAGTCAGAACTGACTTGACAACAATGAATTTATATAATATATAGTAAATATACTTCAATACTGTTTTTTCCATAACAAACTTTCAGAATTACTTTCCTTATGAATGTGTTATTGTTCTTAAACTTGAACAAAATGTATCTGAGCCCTTGAAGTTCTTGAAAATGCTGATAAATTGTCACAAATACCTTCCTCTTGAGCTCACTGGAGGTGACCAGAATTTGATTTATTATTGTTTTCTTTTATTTTCTTCTTTTAAAATTTATTATTATAATATCTTCTCAAGTTTTTGTGTGGTTCTAAAAATCTAATATAATTTTATTATCATATAATCTTCATTTAGGGTTTATGTGTGATTCTCGAGTTTAATATAATTTTAACGTTATTGTCATCTTCTAATAACAACTCTAAACTTGATTATGGTTTCAGAGACTTTAAAAAGGTCTCCTCAGTGCAAACCTCGAGGAAACAGAGAATGGAGTGGCGGGGGGGGGGGGGAAATGTGTTTCGAAAAAACCATATCTTTAAATGGTTTTAACAATTTTAAACCAATGAAACATCACAATAGTTAAACTGAGCTACTTAAGTCGTCTGAGTTTTGTTCTGTTGTTGCTTTTTCAAGAGAATTAAAAATTCCTCTCAGAGTCCTGCAGAATGCCTGTCCTTAGGGATAGGTCTTCTAAAAGAACCTTTGTGTTTTCACCACAATTGGCCTTGCAAATCCTCGGCCACAACTGAATTTGCAAATCTGGGCTTGAGGATGGAGCTGGAGCCCAAGTGGCTGAGTCCTGCGGCTTTTTCAGAGGCCTCCCCGCTTCTGACGGAGAAGCAGGCCAAGCAGCTCCTGAGATCCAGGCGGCAGGACGAGGGCCGGCCCCCCAGCAAACCCGGCTTCCCGGACGAACCCATGAGGGTGAGTACAGCTCTGTGGAGGCAACAAACTGGGTGCTGGGCCCCGTGAGGACTGTGGGGTGCAGGTGCTCTCAGAGTCGGTGGGGGGGGCAAGAGAGTTGGGAGCCCACAACTTCATGTACCCACTGCAGACACAGAATATTCTAGAAAACCCTGAGAGCCCCGGGATCCTGAGTGGCTGCTGAGGGAGCCCACCCTTGAACTGGAGGCTGAGGGCTGTCCCCATTAGCTAATCCCAACCCCTCTTCTTTTCTCTTGTGGGTGAGCTGCACTAATGCAACCACGTGCTCTTCTGCCCAGACTCTGCCAGGTGCTTGTCGGGATTCTACCTTGCCCTCAGCGTCTGCACCTGGGTACTTTAAGCTCTGTTCCTGCAGTGAGGGTCTTGGCCCTCTGATAGAGGCATTTGAGCTACCAGCCAGCAGGGGGTGTTTGCACCGTGCTGCAGCTCAGTCTCTGGCGCTAGACTTGAGAACAGTGCTTTGGATGGTTCATTCCCTCACCATTCCCCGGCTTCTGGTATCACTTGACTTAATCTTGCAAACCCTGTGCTTGCATTTGACTCTGCAGTTGACTGAGTATCTGGCAATTATAGGGTCATCTTTAACGTGACTGTTGAATCATTTTGTAGGACAGCCATAACAAGTGACCTAAGACCTTGTGGCTTAAAACTACAGAAAAGCATTCTTTTGCAAAAGTCTGAAATCAACGTGCTGGTAGAGTTCCTTTTGGCAGCCCGAGGACAAAAGTGTTCACGCTTTTTCCCAGCTTCTGGTGGCTAGAACTGATGCTTAGTGTCCTTGGCTTGTAGCACCATCACTCCATTGTTCCCTCTTCTCAGTGTGTACTTTCCTCTACCTGAGTCTTTGTGCCTCAGATCTCCCTCGGCCTTCTTTGATAAGGTCATTGGTCCAGCCTCAACCCAGTATGCTTTCATTTCAATTTCCTTAACTTCATTACATCTGGAAATTTTCTCCAAATAAGGTCAACTTCCCAGGTTCTGAGGGCTAGGACTTGGAAGAACTTTTTGGAACCAGCATTCAACTCACTACAAAGGCCTTGAATATAAACGATGTTGTTTTTCTGAGATCATTTCTAGCCTTACAGCCTACAGCTGACCGCTCCAACCATTCCCTACCCCAGCCTGCACATAGCCCAGTACTGCACAAGCCCTCACAAGACGTGTGAATCCAATGTCCAGAATCCTCAGTCACTCGGTCAAAGTTTAGACAAGTAATCATCTGGCCTATCATTGCAATGTGAGATAAATACACAATGAATTAGCTGTTGGCCCAAAGTTCAGTGTTAGAACCCACCAGCTGCTCTGTGAGAGAAAGAGAAAGCAAACTGTCCATGAAGATTTTCAGCCTTGGAAGCCTATGCGACAGTTTTACACGATCCTACAGGGATGCTGTGAATTGAGATGGACTCGATGGCTGTATTTTCTTTCTTTTTTAAAAAGTCCTCACCACTGCTTTTTCGACCAGGGATGTTTAGAGGACATCTGGCAATGTCTGGGAAATTGTTGATTGTCACAATGGGTGGAAGGGATGTTACTAGTGTCTTGGGAAAGGTCAGGGATGCTTCTCCACATCCATGTAGAACACAGCCCTCTCCCGTGAAGGAATCACGTGGCCCAGAGTATCAACAGCTCAGAGGTGAGGAACACAGTCTGAGCAATACCAGCCTACTTCTCCTTCTTACTCTCTGTCACTGTCGCTCACAATTGCCCTCACACATGCAGAATTGGCTGAATCAACAAATTGTTTCCAGCCTGATATTTTTCTAGGCCCAAGCTTCTTAGTCTTGGCTGCACACTGGAACCGCTTGCGTGGTTAAAATCGAATGCGTGGGTCACACTCCTAGCAGGGCCGCCTGTGATGTGTCCTGGGCACTGGGGTTTTGGGCTTTTTTTGGGTAGCTCCTCCCGAGGTGCCAATGGGCATCTATGACAGAGGACCAGTCAATGACATGTGACACGCAGCCTTCATAATCTACTGCAGGAGTCCCTGGGTGTTAAAATGGTAAGTACTTGACAACTAGCCACACGGTTGACAGGTTAGACCCACCGAGTGGCACCTTGGGAGAAAGACCTGGCAATCTCTTCTTAGAGCTCAGCTTTGAAAACCCTGGGGAGTGTGGTTCTGCTGTGTATCACATGGGATTCCACATCAACTCAGCAATGGTAACCGTGTGGTGTTGTTTTTTTAAATTTGACACTCCATCAGAAACACAGAAAGCTAACAGCTAAAAGCAACATTTAGAACACAATTAAATGCTCAACTGACTTAAAAAAAATCTTAAAAAAAAAACCCAACCAGTGATGTTACTTTTGTGACTCGAGTGTGTCTAATCCAAGCCATGGCATTTGTAATAACCTTGTGCTTGCCAAAACTGGACAGTGGAAAAGGAAGACTGCTAAACACAAGGTTGGTGGTTTGATGCCACCAAGATTAACAAAATAATCAATACATTCAAATTGTGGACTTAGAGAAGGATGTCAAATACACCAGGGAGTTCCGGTAGAACAAACAAATCAGTCTTGGAGGAAGTACAACCAGAATGCTCTTTCAAAGCGAGGCTGAAGAGACTTCCTCTCCCTTACTTTGGACATATCATACGGAAAGACCAGTCACCAGAAAAGGATATCATGATGAGGAAGAAGTAGAGGGTCAGCAGAAAAGAGGAGATCCCTTAATGAGGTGGGTTAACACAGTAGCTGTAACAGGGGGCGTGAACATCCCTGTTGGTACGAGGGAGAGGAAGCACTGGGTAATGCTTTCTATTGTCATCAGATTGTTCTTAGGTTCTGTGAAATTGACAATGACTCATCCTGGCCATATGGCCAGTAGATAGAACCCTTGTCTTCTCCTGGACCATCCTCATGACCTCTGTCATGTTCAAGTCCACTGTTGCAGTCATTGTGTCTGTCCATCTTGTGAAGGGTCTTTATCTCTCTTTCTCTGACCCTCCACTTTCCTCAGCAGGTCGCCCGTTTTCCAAGGACTGGCTTCTTCTGACAACAGGCCCAAAATATGTGAGGCAGTGACATCTCTGCCTCTGTGGAGCGTCCTGACTGCATTTCCTCCCAGAGAGATTTGTTTGTTCTTTTGGCAGTCCATGGGATATGCATCACTCTTCATCAACACCGCAATGCAAAGGCTTCAATTCTGTTTTGGTCTTCCTTATTTGCTGGCCCACTTTCTCATGCATATGGGGCAATTGAAAATACATGATAGTAGCTTAGAGAGATTGAGAAGGCCAGGTGACATGTGCAGAGAGCATTGCCTTGAAGCCCAAAGTGGGCACTTAATTAAGTCTTGCATTGGTTGTGTCCTGCTGGACGCTCCCGTCTTTCCTTCAGTTGTGGTGCCACGCTCATTGGGTGGAGACAGACAAGGAGCCAGAGTGTAGGAACTCTTGGAATCAACGATCCAAGTTACACGGTGCAAGAAACTGTCTAATCTGAGGGGAGAGAACAGCTCATTCTGAATGGAAGGGAGGCCAAGATGGCTTCCTAGAGAAGGTGTCCACTCAGCTGAGGCCTCAAGAATGATAGCTCTTCTGACTCTGTTGGGGGTAGAGGTGAAGTGGAGGAATAGCCTACCAGTGTGACTCCAGTCAATATGCTGCTTAACAAGCTATGGGCTTGGGGCGAATTGTGCTCTTGGGAGGCTAGTTTTTTTTAATCTATAAAATACAAAGTTTGTAGAACCTGGCAGAGAACATTCCCTCCAAGTCTCATATTCTAGGGTTTAGGGGGTGACACAAATTTTTCAGTCTGGTCTGCATCTGGGAGGGAAGAACCACAGGTGGCAGGATACCAACTTGGTTGAGAAGGTGGTTCATTTAGAGGCTCCGAGAAGCTTCTTTCTCCAAACCAAGCATCTCCTCTTATCCTGCTGGCCCAGCTTCTGTCAGGTTGGAACTGACTGTCCGCTGACCCCTCTGTGAGTGTTCAGAGGGCGACTGTCATTCTTCCTCAGAGCTACTGGTGGATTCGAACCGGCAGAAGTAGAGCCAGCTTTGGATTTGCAGTGCAGCTTCCTCTGGGTTATGCCCCTGGAGCTCCCTAGTTTGACATCTAAGACTCGCTGGTCATCTGTTCTCTCTCTTTGGGTTTAGTTGATTTTTCATTTTTATGGGTTTACTGTAAGCAAAATGAACTATACCAACCACTTGGCATGAAAAAAAAAAAGAGGAACTTTACTCCTTTTACTGAGTGGCTGATTATTGAGGTGATCTGGCCATGTGCTCACAGGTGAACTGGAATGAGATCCAGTGGCATCATGGAATGAGATCCAGTGATGTCATGGAATGAAATATAGTGACGTCATGGAATAAGATACAGCATCGTATTTGTTAGTGAGCTGTGAAGAGGGGACAAGTCAGGACTCTGGCAGCAGCAAACCGGGGGTGGGCTGTGGACGCATGCTAACAGTATGAGACAAAGAACTTCTATTTTTTTTTTTTTGGACCACACCTTCCTTTTCTTTACCTCCCACTCTTTTTCTTTCTCTATCATCTGTGAACCAACACCGTTGTTCTGCTTACAAATGCCCCTTTGCTGAGGACAAAAGGCAGGATGAATGTGTCATCCAGTGTATTTGAGATTACAAACATTGTGTATGTGTGTGTGTGTGGAGGAGTAAGCGTGTGTGTGTGTGTGTGTGTGTGTGTGTGTAGCTGAGGGTAAAGACCCCTGGTGGTGCAGTGCATAATGTACTGGCTGAATCCATCAATCGCTCTACCGAAGGAAGGTGGAGGGTCCCCTCCTATAAAGATTTTCAGTCTTGGCAACTCAATGGAGGTTGTAAGAGCCAGAACCAATTTGACTGCAGTGGGTTTTGGGTTTTTGGATGTGTCAGGGTGTGTTCGTGAGTATGTTTGGGTGTGTGTGTGTGTGTGAGAGCATATGTCTGATATGTATGCATGTGATGGTGTGTGGATATCCATTTGTGTATGAGTGTGTATGTCTGTGGACCTAAATGTGTGTGAGAA